TTTAATCATGATTTTGTTTGCCAAAGTGTTTGAAGGAAAGTGTTTTGCAACACTTACTGACCCTTTTCAGAATTTTTCTTTTTCTACACTGGCACGTTATTATTTCTGCAGTTTTTTGGACAGGCTCCCTGTAGATGTCAGAACTGAGATTTAGCTCAGAAATGGATCTGAGGTGTTGGAGACAATAACAGTAAATGCTTTACTTTGTTAAATGGTGTGGATGTGGTTGCTACACTCCTCTCTGAAAACTCTATGGGTGTGCAGAGCTGTCGGCAACCGCTTCTTTACCTGCTCAACAAGGAAAACCATTTGTGTTTAGAAAACCCAAGAAGCAGAGTAAATGTGAAGAATTTAAAAAGGAGCTAACGGCTTGAAATTCACTCATCATGTTTAGATTTAAGCTACACTTTGAGCTGTTTCTTATAGACAATGTACTTTTCTCTGCAGTGAATCTCCCCTTATTTTAGCAATGACTTATGCTCCTTTTTTAGTGGCGTAAAGAAAGCTTTTTTACAACAAATCTTGCTCTAGTGCTGTTGATGTTCTCTGAAATGATGCAGTCCGATTGCTGAATTTTAAACAGTTGCTACCTCTCTGTAAAGGGAGTGTAGCACTTGCATGTGTGGGTGATTGTGTGTAATTTATAACTGTGACACTAACAACATTTTTTTAAGAATATTGCGTTCCCAAGAACTTAGCTGACAAGTATGAGAAATTGCCTCCCAGGTTGTAACAGTTCTGTAAATCTATATTTTCAGGCGCTTTAAAGCAATCAATGTCATATAAATAATTGAGATTGGTGGTTTATTTTCTTTGGAACCAAAACCCTGTTGGCCCAGATTTTTCTGAGAGGTGATCATCTGGGACATTTATTCTATTATGTGTTATACTTGTTTCACTCAGAGGCTTGACATCCCTAACAAAAGCTGATGTGTCCTTGTAAACATTCCGCGGAACACTCTTTTGTCATTCTAGTGTCGACAAAGTGTCCTTTTTATTTCATCTATCAGTCTTGATTGCTCTGTTGCTCATATAACCAGCTGCAATGAATACCTAAGTTATGGTTTACAAGTGATACATGTGTTCTTCTTGCTCATGTCTGCTGAAGATATCCAAGCTGCACATCTGTTTATTGGTAAGGAAGACGGATTAACAGAATGTTCAAGATTCACATTCTCTCTTTTTCCTTTCATATAAAAACAATTGCCTGCTGTCCAAAAAAAAAAAAAATCAAACGATGAAATTAGTAGCTTGGAGTGATTCCACCAAAAACAAACCCATCTTACAAAGCTTGTGAGAAAAAGGATCTGAAATGTTCCAACCATTTATATACACCTAGCCAGCGGTATGATCGTCATTATAACAATGCCTCCAGTGGGCATTACAGTGCCAGTTGCCTGGGTGCCAATTTGTTTTGGGCTATCCAGATTCCCTGGTATGGCCCTCTTTGGGCTAAGGGCTTTGTTCCATCCATGCACTCCAAGCGTCAATACCTCTCATGTCCCTGTTCTTGGCTCAATGATTGTATATTTGCATGGAGAGCTTGCACTTTATGGCCATTCAGGACCCTGGCAAATGGCAGGTTCGTTTTAACACTGGGCCTCTTTTCCATGGGGTATTATTGCCTGATGGGTTGTTCCATGCCAAGGAGGGTTTTTAGAAGTGGAAAAGGGGCATTGGTTATTAGAGTCAGGTTACAGAAGGTGCAGAGTCTGTCTCCAATATAATAAGACTAGCGTGATGATGTTGAGTTTCTCTTCTGTCTTTTGGTGATTGAATCTGTCGGTTTTTTACCAGGGCAATAGGGATGTAGTACCATTAAACTTGAAGTATGATAGGACCTGGAACAAAAATATAAAAGGGTGATTTCAAAGTGCTCCTTTTGATGGAGTTGAATCACTTGTGCAACTGTGAATGTCTTTTTGTGTTATTTCATTCTGTTGTGCCAACTGATTGTGTGGTGGCTGTCTTTTGAATACAACTATTTGAAGGATGGTTGAACCTTACACAAGTATGACTAAAACATACAGTAGAGCTACATGCTGTGATAGTGGGTTGTGAGAGTCAGAGGACATGGTGCGGAGGTGTCCTTGAGCCTGACAGTGACACCATACCTTCTCCAAGAGAGCTTTTAAAGCTGAACATGACATGTTTGCTCCCTGTAGAATAGGGATAGGTATCGTTGGGATTTTATCGATACCATCACTGCTTATTGATACTGGTATTTATTGATACTCTACACATACCTTCATAATTTTGTGCAAATAATAACGTGATGTTCCGTGAAAATATGTGAAAGATTCAATATATATTTATTTACATAAATAACTGTATTGTTAAAGTCTTTGAGAAGAACAAAAACAAAAAAGGTAACAAAATAACTTATAAACTAAGATTTTGGATGTCTCTTGTGTTTTTTATTCAGCTATTATTGTGGTATTTCAGAATGAATCAAAGCATTAAAACATGAGGCTCAGTATTTTAAATGGTTCGAACGCCTTTATCACATGAGTGTTTCTCACCAACCAGAACGTAGCGTAACATACATATAGCAGCCATGATGTCCAGCAGCTTACCGGTATCATAAGGCTGACCAATCAGGTACCGGTACCAATTTATTACCGGTTATTGATACCCATCCCTCCTTTAAAAACATAATCACAAAAGAGTGTATCTGTATGAGATCAATTTAACACTCAATTAGAAGTTGTTCATACTCGAGTTGCAGCCTGGTAAATGACCTGACATTCAAATACCGTAATTTTCGGACTATAAGCCGCGCCTTTTTCCCTATTTTTCGACGCTGCGGGTTATATAACGGTGCGGCTAATCTATGGATTTTTACAGCTAACGGCCAACACCTTTAACTCTATGGGCTCTATGGCCGGTCCGCGGACCCCCACCTTTAAGCGGCGGGTTCCAGCAGGAAAAGCTGGAGGCCGGAAAAGAGTGAGACAGGTAGCACGCAAAAATAAAAGTGGAACCGAGAGTGGTATGCCGCTGCTGCGGCTTATATTCAGGTGCGCCTTATAGTCCGAAAATTACGGTATATTTCTTCTAAGAGATGTTGGAGCATCAATTAGTATTTGCTTGATCTCAGTCAAAAAGGTAAAATAACTTGCATGCAACCATTTTCAGTCAGGCTACAAGCATGAACTGAGACAAATAAAGGCACAAACTGCACATTGTTCATCTTTGAACATCAAAGATAAGTATCTTTGTTCACCCTCTGCTTGAAATTCAAATTACACCACACATTCTGGACTGCAGGCTTTTCTTGAAATACAATATTTGTCATATTTAATGCTTCATTAAACGGTTTTAAATGTTTAAAACTACCAAGCCCAAATGCTGCTGCTGCAAAGCCACTTTTGAAGTTAATCTCTCCTAATCAGCTGGAACAGTAATATATAAGGTGTTGCATTGTTATCATTGTATCAGTTTCCACAGTTCTCTTTGCTGTTTTGCTGTAGAGTTGGAAATCTCTGGCTACATATGTATTTCTCTTTAATTCAGGCGAGTGAGACACAAAATAGTAAGACACAGACACTGATATGTTATATAGGAGCTCAAGTGTCCCTGATGGACTTGATTTACTGCGGTGGTTGACGTTTCATCAAATTTAGATACAAATAAGACGCTTTGGAAGAAACACATGTGTATCAAAAGTGACAGTTAAATTACGTCATGAAACTACAAATTGGCCGATAAACATTCAAGGCCAACAGTAAAATACAGAGAGAGTTGGCAATGATACTTGCATGTGATGCCAAACTTAATTGCAAATCAATTATTATAGATGCTAAACAAAGATGCTCAACATAAGAAAAAATAAGGGTTAACTCCAAACAGCAAAGCAGCATATCATTCCTGAGTGCAATGTAATTTTTATTTGCATAACTGCTGGTATCAGTCAGGCTCTAGTGTATTTTAAAGCTGATGTAGCAGATTGTATAGATGCATAATAATGACTTATAGACTAAGCCCTCCAAAGATAGTTTAAACAATCTGATAGTCAGAGAAAAAAATCATGATTTTCTGCACAACGTCCCAAATCAGGCTGTAATCCGACCCATGTGTTATCATCAGCAGTCAGTAATTTGTCATTATAAACAGAGCAGTCTTTTTGCTCATAATCCCCCCCCCCCCAACAGTTGAAGTCTTAAAGTTGATAAAAAGTAATGCTACTGGAAATGTTTTGTGTTCTGTGCCAAATCTTCAGCCACATAGCAAATTGGAATAAAGCCTTTGCGTCTTTTACCTTGAAATTAATGAGATCATACTGCTGGCCAAATATTCCCCCCAAGGATAAATCATAATGCTCCAACAATAAACATGTCCGACTCTATTTCAGCTGGAATTCAATCACATTTTGATGTACTTTTGAAATGCAAAAGACTGCATGTACATAAGGTTGTCTTTTGTAAGCAATCAGTTCAGGTAGACTAATAGCCCCGGGCTCAGTCTAGTCTCGTGCCCATGTGACTCTTTGATTTGATTCAGGATGCTTTGTTGGAGTCATTTGAGATCCCTAACGCAGCCTGAATCGGATCATATCCCAGGTTTGCCTCTCCAGGACAACGCCCAAGAGTCAACCTTGTTGAACACAAACAAATATCACAGGACAAACCTAAATAAACAAGTAGAGAATCAAATGCTACCGCCTATGTGACGTTGTGGGCCGATATATTTAATCAGTGCTGTCCACCACCATCATCCAAACACCAAATGAAGGAATAACTTTTGTTCATCCCTCCAGAGACAGGTTTTTTTTTAACCGTCTTTCATCATTTTGGCAGCTAAGGACAAGCATGTGTACTAGCATTGTCTTTTTTAAAGTGCACAGTAAGTGATCAAAGAGTGCATGGTGCTTTGGGAGCCATGACTAATGGTGGACACTCATTATGGATGACCCTGGATGGGCCGAGGTTACAGTTGCTTGAGGCCTGAACACAGAAACACTTAGTCACTGATGTCTCTTGTTGGCTTTGGTCCTCCAGGTTTTGATGACCGCGACACAGACCTGTTCTTGTGCGACACCAACACATGCAAGTTCGATGGGGAATGTCTAAGAATTGGGAACATGGTGACATGCATTTGTGACTTCAAGGTAAGATCTTTTTATACTTTTTTTTCACTGTTCTATTTTCCTTTTGAGGTGTGTTTGGTGTTAATTGGAAGTTCATTAAACAACCTATAGAAATGCAAAACGGCCTCAGTTTAGACATAATTATGTCCTTCTGCTTACCGCATCATTTATGAGAAAACATTTCATAACATTAAACCGTAGGAACACAGATTGTCTTATTATAGCTTTAGCTGTAAATGCTTACGGGCTGTCAAGCTTTAGATTTCCTCACATGTGGAAGCAGTGTGCATTGAGCTGTAGAAGGAACAATACTCTGCATTTATTTGAGAAATGTATGTCTTTTTTTGAAACAACTCGAAAGCAAAAGCACAAAAAAAGTGTTAAGAATAGATTAAACGGGGTCTTATATACTTACACAAGATGCAATCGTTAGCATTACTAACTAGCTTAAAAAACACTATAGTAACAAAGTCTTACTTACACAAATATTTCATTAATAGCTGTTATTGTTTGTTAAGAAAGCCCTGTTTATGACTGGCATATTCTTTGAGTAGTATTACTCCACTGTCTGGAGATCAACATTAAAAGCTTTTTTTGTTACGCTTTTGGCCAACGCAGGGTTGGGGTAGATAATCCATTTGTATTCTGTCCACGAGAAAATAACCCTACTTCTCACTTGATTTATTCAACATTTTCCTGTTCAAATCTTCCTCAGTAAAGCATGATGTTTATTTTGTTGATTAAAGTCCTATTTAGTACAAAGAGACAATCAAATGGGTATGATTTAGGGCATGGCTAACATCCAGTTGGGGAGTTAGATGTTTTAGTCTGATAACTTTTACCTTTTTAAAGCAGGTTATTCATTCATGAAGGCAAACTGTAATATTTATGTTGGCAAAAAAATGTTGTTCAGTGTTCATTTGTCGGGTCCACCCTCTCATGTCTCTTCTGGTTCATAAAAAATAGGATGGCGTTGGCCAAAATACCAAATTCCAGATTTCAAAATGGTCTTTCACAAAACATTGGATGACTTAACAGTGGCTACTTCATTTTAGATAGTGGAAGATAATAACAACTGAGGGGAATACAGCATTTTTTAACCAATCCATCGAGCCAAAGTTAGGTTTAATAGGTTATTAGCCATAACCGATAACATCTGGTTTACTCAACGATTAATCAAGTGTTGTGGGTTGCCAAATTACTCGTCCAAGATTTTGCCAAATAGATAAATCATCTTTCTTATAGTCTAAAAATGTTTGATTAGAACCCAATATATAGCAAAGGTTAGTGTATGCTTGCATAGTACATCAACAACAGAGTAAATGCATGAAACAGAGGAGCTTAGATCAGTTTAATACTTTTATTAAATGGTATTATGTTGCTGTATCTACTTGAAACTTAACAGGTTTCAATTGTCAAGTGTTCACATAGTGATATTCAAAGAAAGTGCTCTTTAAGAGCAAAAAAAGCTTACGTTAAAACATACTTACTTGAAAAAGGTTGAGATGAAAGGTTACATGTATAAATACAATTAACATAGATCGAAGTCCATTGTCTTGATTGGACAATATTAGCCCCAAGGGGTGGTGGTTTACGGCTCCTTGTGAAATTGTATTAGACTATTTTGGACCACTGTTCACTCTCCACATTCATAAACAAGTCTTCCCCCGATAAGGCTAAAACTGAAAGACCCTCGTTAATGGCATAAATCTGAGAAATTATACCCTTCTTGATTATGACTCATACTTAACTTTATGACCACACCGATAATAAATAAGGAGCAAACCAGTCAGCCGAGTATTGATTTTAGTGTAACTTTTGCCAGACTAATACGCTATGCAGAGCCCTACATAAATGAAGCCGCAGAGATCTAAAGACGTAGCATGTGTTCTCATCCGTCGCTTTTATCAGAGCGTCATCAGCGCAGCCAGGCACTCGGCAGGCTGACACTCGATTGGTCACCAGTTTTTATCTCAATTTCGTACTTCCCTGGGAGCCAACGTTAACAGAGGCCTTGCAGATAAATGACATTACAGCTCCATTCCTCTTCAGGAGATCTCACACTGATAGTGCTGTCGCTGTACACCGAGCAGCTCTCTATGCCTTTAGAAAAGAGCAGGTCAGACCAAAATTTCTTGCTTAATACCGCAGGTCTGAGGTCAGCTCATCCATGCATCTTCTGTTTGTTTGTGGGGGAGGTTTTACCGGATACCTTTGTTTCATCAGTCAACGTAAATATGACCTTCCTAGCCTAGCAACTGTTGCTTTGTACCGGAATAATCAGTCACTCTCAATCAGTGTCAAATAAATGGGTCCAAGATTCGTCTCATAGCGGCAGTTCATTGGGCACTGTTAGCAGGGACATGAAAGTTGTATACATTCTCATCTTGGATGGATTTTCTTTGTTCTAGCAGAATATATGGATGTGTGCGTGCAAACTCTCACACACAGACGAAAAACTCCAAGGAAGAGACATGCAAGGAGCTCTGTGAGGAGGAAGTGAGTTTGATGTGTTGGAATCAATGGACACTATTCATTGCCAAGATGCATTAGATTCGTCTCACACTGGCCCTTGAAAGAGCCAAGACTTTCACTCACTAAGCGGAGTCAAATAGCTACAGAGCAACGCACTCTCTCGTACCTGAAAATGAGTTTTTTCTACGAACGCCGTAGCTTGACTAATCACTAACAGTCCTTTGTAATTCATCTCACAATAGCTGTTGGGGATAGCTATTGTTGCCATTTTGGTTTTGTTAATGTCAGGTCGCAGTGCTGATTCCCAAAAGAGTCGCCCGTTCTAAAAATATGTGTGCTCATGGCACTGAAGGACTTCAACTAGAACTGCCCACCAAAGGCTAAATGGCACATCTCATTCCTTTCTGGTGTTTTGTAATATATTCCTGTGGTTTGGGAGGCACTGACAGTGTTTCTCATTACAACACTGTACAGTATGCAGCTCTGATTTTCTGCTATATTTTGTACCGTTTTGTTCCAGAAAATGTTGCTTAGAGTTCTATATGAATGCACGTTGGATACAAGATACAGAAATGTTTTCCATTGCCAACAGATTGTCCTGTTGCGATTACGTTATCGACTTATTGTACAATATATAGACATTACCTCAATCATTTTCACTTGCCTCTATATTAGCCATGTGTTTGTTTACATATAGTTGTCACCAATATTTTTCCAACAAGGTTTTTCATTGGCGTCTTGGGCATTACATCCATAATAATGTCAACAGAGCCATTTTCTTTGATTTGTTTATTTAAGATTTTTTTTCCTTTTTTTTGCATCCCAATTCCAATGTCTAGATTTCACTGATCTTTGAAAAGGTGAATTTGCATTATATGTTCTTATGTTATCATTGTCAAATTGATACATTTTACAACATTCTTTGTATTTATTTCTGGGACAATGTCAATCAACAAAATTGTCTATCGTGACAGGTCTTCAAACATAGAGTCTTCTGGTATGCTAACATTTTTCTAAAACATTTGACAAGTTAATTGCATAACATTAAGCTGTTGCCTTGACAAAAGTATCCAATAAAAAGTGTGCAAATGTGTATCTTTAAAAGTTTATTGGGCAGTCATTTCTCAAAAATACTTGAATGTCATGTGAAAGACAGAAAGTAGTGTAGAGTAGGGTGGTGGAATTTACCCATTAACCAATGAGGAGCAAAATAATCCATACATGCACGCTCTGGAATAGGATTTGAATTAAAACTGTAAATATTAATATTGTCCATCTTTTTTAAATCATCATTTTCCAACTTAGTATTCTTTTCAACTATGAAGTTAATAAGAAAGTTGAAATCTAAAGAAAAACATCTATGACAGTAGTTGACCATACGTTTTTGAACATTGCATTAAATCTTGTGAATTAATGACAATCTGCCAACAGTTAGGGAAAAGGGCCAACTATAGAAAAATTCATCAAAACGAGAAAAAAGATTATTGGCAGAAAACGCACCCGATGCATCCAATAAAAACATGTGCCAGCACATCTTTTGTGCTTAAGTTCAATTGGCGGAAAAGAGTCTTGATGTTGACATTTGTTTGAAAGGCGTTCAAGTCGTAAAGGGCAGGGAGTTGGACATCTCAGTGTGTAGTTCTGGAATAGACACAGCAGGATGTGTACAAATGAGATGCAGCAGATTGTTAGTGGAATACTAGTGCAGACGTCCAAGATTTTAAGGATTCTCCTGCGGAAGATTTTGCAGATGAATGGGAGACATATGTGAACACAGCAGATGTAATGTGATGGGTGATGTAAGTCAGGATTACTTACAGCTCAGGGCTGCTGACAACAGGCCAAAAGTACTTCCAGTTTTCTAAATAGGAAAGATTTACTAAATGTGTCAATGAAACGAGTACATTGAAGTTCGCTGCAAATTTTTTTTCTGTGGTTGGCAGGAGTAACCTCGCACGAACTGAGTTGTCCTGATATAATACGGCTTAATAATGTCTGCATGAGTTTTGGTTCACAGTCAGGGCACAGAATTGTGGCGCCAGAGACATAGCCTGCAGCCTGGTAGGATATATTTGGGTTCAACCCAAGAATGGTGCTGTGTTGTTTTGAATGTTTTGCAGAATAAATAAGACAAATACTCCCAATTGTATGCGGTGATTCACAGGCTCATGGTGGTGTGGTTTGATTTCCCAGGCCCTGTTTCTGGCTTTGGGCTTGCAGGGAGGACGCTTAAAATGTCGTCGTAGAGGACATCGAGCTTGTTTGTTGAGATCTTTTGGGGTAGTTCAGTTCATTACACTGTATTGAATGATGGTGATGATTGTCATTTGGGCTAAACGACATAGAAATGTTCATTCAAGTGCACATGAATGATTGTGTCAGTGAGCATTTCCACATTTCTGTGAGTAAAAGCACTACAAATAATTAACAGGTGATCCATTAAAAGCAAAAGGCAATAGTGATTGTGATTACACGCTTCAAGAAAGATTTTCAAACTGCATTAAAGAAAATATCCACCATAGTGGTATGGGTGCAGGATAGTGTTTATAGGGTACGGTAGTTACATTTAAATGAAAAAGGCAATAAAATCAATGTTAACTCGGAGAATTTGATGTCTTTTCCTTAGGGCTATTTTTTAAACAGAAATGCTCTGATGATTTTATTCAAAAGTGCTTCGAATAGTGTAGTAAAACATCCATTATTGACATTGCATTCACATAAATGTATTATTTGTTTCATTCACAGATATTGCCGGAGCACATATAAATTAAACACTTGCAGTATTATTGGTTATATTGGAACATTTAACACAAATGCAGACATGAAAATGTTTTAATGGATAATGTTGTTCTCCCAAAAAAGAAAACCATTACCATGATCTCCACCTGACTTTAAAACCAAATCGTTTTAGTTGCCTCAACTTAACTTTGTAGTCCCATTTTGTCATTTAGACTTGGTGTACCTTTTTCTCTAAGCCTGCTTTTTCAAAAATGTCAGGGATGTTAGCTCCCGGATACAACTAATCTCACTGGATTTAACAGCTAAATCTGGTGTTCAATTTCTGTCATTTCATTTCCTGCCAAAAAAGTAATGTCTATGGTTATATAATCCCAAATAAAAGCTGATTGCGGAAATATATAAGTATCCGTTTGTATGTCAGCCAATGAGTTACAACACATTGCAGTACAGATATACCAAACTAGGTTTAGAGTCACTTTGAAACAGTTTCCCCATTCCTTGAATTGTCCACGAGAGAACATTGTGAGTTCTATTTTAGATTTTAAAATATCCCATCAGTATGTATCATAGTCACAAAGAAAGTGTATTATGTGTTTATGTTAAAACAAAATTACGTACTTTCGTCCAATAAATTCTAAAATTACAAATACTACATCAGATTTCTTCCATTCCCAAATATCAATATCTGTGTTTTTAAAATCCAGTATTGATCAGAGCTGTAACAATCCATCAATCTGGATTGATGTAAACGTCAACAATCCAATGTCATCTATAAAAAGCAACCACATCGATACACATCAACTTTAGTGAATGCCTTTATTTTGAAGTTTCCATGGCACGTTTTTCATCATTTGATTCCAATGGTTCCTACAGAGCCAGGTCCTAAAATTGTAAAATCGTATTTAAATGCTTTTTGTGAGTTGATATAAATGTAACTGATGGTGTGAAATGGGCATGCAATATGGTCTCATATTGATAACAGACCACTGAAATTAAATGAATCGAAGTTGTATTATGGCAAGCATTGTCCTATGCTAGAATCGATATTGTGCGCTATCTGCATTCAACTAGTGATTTACACCCTTAGCATTGATCAGGTCGTAGTGGGCATATGTAGACGTGTTTGGTGCACTGGACGTGGGAAGATGAGTAAATGTACTTCACAGCTTCACAGACTGGGAACATATCAACTTATGTCACATTAGTTCACACATTAATGGCATATAGTCATTTGGAGATAGTAACCTCTGACATCATAATGAGCATCCGACATCTTAAAGTACATCCAGTCAGCATTGCATGGTTATTGACTTCATATAAAAGAACTTCGGGTAATGCTGGCAGCACATTTGGTCTTCAATATACTCCCTGCTGATTATTTGATGTGGATACTATTCGCTGTAATGCCTGACCTCAAGTTGCTCTCCCGCCTTTCACTGCCGGAAGCCGTCCTAATGTTTGGGTTGTGATGGCTGACCTGCTGAAGCTCGCAGCACTACAAAGAGGAATGAGCGCTAATGTGGGTTCATGATGTTGATGGGAGGGTGTGGAAGGGCAGTGCGTCCTTCACATCGCACTAAACAAGGACTTGTGAAAATGCTTTGGAGTGCACCTTTCAGAAAACACGCACAGGCCACAAATGCTTAGCTCCTTAAAGTGCTAAACCGCCCTCTCCCTCCATCTTACTCCATCTTACTCTCCTTTTACACACCACCTCCACACAAATAGGCTTATACGATACAATGTAAAATAATGATAGGGTTACACAGCTACACACACATTCACCGAGGTCCAGGTGGTACTGACACCAGCGTCTGATGCAGACCCCATTCCATATATTTGCATTCATTTACCATCCTTTTATCCAAGGCCATGTGAACGGACAGGGGCTGAGATTTTGAGTAATGGTGAATTTATTTTACTGATGCAGGCCCATATAAGCGGCTGCACTTGGAAGCTGTAACAGCAGGGACCCTGCCAAAGATGATGATAAGCATTTATCTGTGACGAACGAGACAGAATGTAAAAGGCCAACCTCATCTCAGGGCTGGACAAAATCAGTTACTGCAATGAGATCGCTGAAGAAGGACCTTCACTTTATTTTGAAGCCACAGCTAAAGGCTAAAGGCAATTGGATAAGCCCGACTTTTTGAAAATAAGTACTTTTTGAACAGCTTTTGTAGCAGATTGTTTACTGTTGATTTGTTTAATGGCCACATTGACCCAATGGTAGTTTGATACCTTTGATATTTCTTCATGTAAAAGCAAGTTTATCTCCAGCGTCCACAAGCCTAAAAAAACCTTTTTTCCACAGTAAATCAGTTTATTTTTGATTGAGTGCCCCTAAAGTGTGCAATTCAGTTTCACACTGCTGCGGTAGATACAGCTGTAATGTTATATGAACATTTGTAATGATTCCATTAATAATCAAATGCTGGCAAGTGGACAACTTTGCTAACACAGCCAAACTGAATTCAAGTGCAACAACACAAGACACAGCTAGTTAGCTTATATCACTAACCAGGTCTGTTGTCCATAGGACTGAAAACATCCTTCGTCCAGCAGTCCAAAGCTCAAGTGCTTTATTGTGAGTTCTAAGTTGTGGCAGAATCACAGACTGAGCTTACAGCTACTGTTAGCAGCAGTTAGCCTCAATTTAGCAACAGGTTAAGCTTTCTGTTCATCATGAAACTCCGTAAATCACAGAGGGGTGAGGCAAAGCTTCTAAAAGAAATCATAGCGAGAACAAAAAACATGAACATTATTTTGAAGCAGTTTTTTCACACAACAACTAATAATAACACAATATTAGTTAAAAATTCTCTCATAACTGTAGCATTACAATTGTACTGTTACGTGTACCTCACGTTTCCTAGGGTTTTTGGTGTTGCTAATAAAAACAAAACGATTAGTGCTCATTTAGGAGGTATTTGCATGTATATACAACTTGTCTTCTTTCATTAGATTATTGAGGTTTTTTTACAATTCTACAAATGCTAACAAAGACATTTTAAGAAAGATAACTACAACTGATTTGATAATGGTGTTGGCTGTTAATAAAGTCGATTCAATGCCCTGTTTTCTTTGCTGAGCGTATTAATGTTGTCCTCTTTTACAAATGATAAACACTGGATTTATTTATCAGTATTTAACATAGCCTAATCCTCTTTGTCCCAACGCATTCAACCTTGCATATCATACAGTTTCCACATTGCCAGCCATCCCTCCCTTCCCTGTCTTTTCCCAATGTCTTCTGCACTGCATGTTGTCCTTAAGCGAGATTCTCTGTGCTTGTAAGAGTGTTCTAAAGCATTCGATTTTCAGTTCATCCAAATAAAAAAATACATATTTTACAATCTACTCCTATTGGCTTCCGTCCATGCAGATGGATTTGGTTTTATCTGCTGAGGTTTTAAAATATCCATCGGAGATTTCTGCTGCAACTGCATTATAATTGTGGTGATTGAAATGGTGTAGTTCTAAGCATTTTATTCTGCTTTAAGATGATTGAAATGACTTTATACAGAAAGTGGAGCACTTTTGATTATCCTCAATAGTTCTTGTAAAGGTTACTGAGTTTTAAATTGTAATTTATTTTGTGAAAGAAAGGTGAATTCCGATTATCTTCAGTTATATTAGAATGGCAACAGAAGTATCAGAGTTGGATATCTCAACACCACAACATAGACAACCAAAATGATCCACAGGGCCAAACACCAACTGTGAGAAAGTGTGTTTGCTTTTCTCGTAATTTGGGTGAATTAATTGTTCAGGTTTTCCCATTTCTCCTGTCAAATTTCTCTGTGGTGAGAAAACACCTCCTCTTGTGTTTGCATGGAAAATCTACCAATTACAGTGAGCAAGATGAACCCAAGTTTCTGAACCCCATTTACTTGGGCTGAATATCTGAAAGCATGCAGCTCTAACAAAGCAGGTGATAATGAAGGAATTGAGCGTTTGTCACACGCTGGTGTGTTTCATGGAGTGAGCAATTGACAATTGACAGTTGACAATATTTAGTTTGTTTGCCATTATGTACTATTTAGTTTACCATACATCCATACATTGTCTCTCTGACAGGGATTTCTTTATTAATAATTTAGTAAACAGGATGTATGATTTGTATAAATGTGTGTGGAGACCGAGGTGCAATAACATTGAACTGGATTTCTCCACAGTTAAAGCAATGTGCTGCTGCAAACACAGTAAT